CCACAGTTACTAAAAACAACAGACATAGCCCCACTCCACAAAGGGGGCAGTAAAGCAACAGCAAAGAACTACAGACCAATAGCACTAACATCCCATATCATAAAAATCTTTTGAAAGGGTCCTAAGAAGCAAGATCACCACCCATCTAAAAACCCATCATTACACAACCCAGGGCAACATGGGTTTAGAACAGGTCGCTCCTGTCTGTCTCAACTATTGGATCCACTACGACAAGGTCCTAAATGCACTAGAAAACAAAAAGAATGCAGATGTAATATATACAGACTTTGCAAAAGCCTTTGACAAGTGTGACCATGGCGTAATAGCGCACAAAATGCGTGCTAAAGGAATAACAGGAAATGTCGGTCGATGGATCTATAATTTCCTCACTAACAGAACACAGATAGTCGTCAACAGAGTAAAATCCAGGCAGCTACGTGAAAAGCTCTGTTCCACAAGGCCACGTACTCGCTCCCATCTTGTTCCTCCATCCTCATATCCGACATAGACAAGGATGTCAGCCACAGCACCGTGTCTTCCTTGCAGATGACACCCGAATCTGCATGACAGTCTTCCATTGCAGACACTGCAAGGCTCCAGGCGGACATCAACCAAATCTTTCAGTGGGCTGCAGAAAACAATATGAAGTTCAACGATGAGAAATTTCAATTACTCAGATACGGTAAAACATGAAGAAATTAAATCTTCATCAGAGTACAAAACAAATTCTAGCCACAAAATAGAGCGAAACACCAACGTCAAAGACCTGGGAGTGATCATGTCGGAGGATCTCACCTTCAAGGACCATAAACATTGTATCAATCGCATCTGCTAGAAAAATGACAGGATGGATAATGAAACCTTCAAAACTAGGGAGGCCAAGCCCATGATGACACTTTTCAGGTCACTTGTTCTATCTAGGCTGGAGTATTGCTGCACACTAACAGCACCTTTCAAGGCAGGTGAAATTGCCGACCTAGAAAATGTACAGAGAACTTTCACGGCACGCATAACGGAGATAAAACACCTCAATTACTGGGAGCGCTTGAGGTTCCTAAACCTGTATTCCCTGGAACGCAGGAGGGAGAGATACATGATTATATACACCTGGAAAATCACTCCCCTACGAAAGCAAAAGACTTGGCAGACGATGCACCACCCCCCAATGAAAAGCAGGGGTGTCACTAGCACGTTAAGAGACCATACAATAAGTGTCAGGGGCCCGAGACTGTTCAACTGCCTCCCAGCACAAATAAGGGGGATTACCAACAGACCCCTGGCAGTCTTCAAGCTGGCACTGGACAAGCACCTAAAGTCAGTTCCTGATCAGCCGGGCTGTGGCTCGTACGTTGGTTTGCGTGCAGCCAGCAGCAACAGCCTGGTTGATCAGGCTCTGACCACCAGGAGGCCTGGTCACAGACTGGCCGCGGGGCGTTGACCCCCGGAACTCTCTCCAGGTAAGTCGACTAACACCGAGGTACCTATTTGCCGCTAGGTGAACAGGACAATAGGTGTAAGGAAACATGTTCACCACCCGCCGGAATCGAACCCGGGCCCTCCGTGTGTGAAGCAGGAGCTTTAGCCACCAGGCCACCGGCCCACTGTATCTTACATGTCATCTACTATATGCAATGAATTTATTGAACTGATGACTAAGAAGGTCCTCAATAACATCATAGCAGCTGTGAAAACTGCAAAATACTTTGCAATAAGTGTAGATTCAACACCAGATATTTCTCATACAGATCAATTGACATTCATTGTTCTCTTTGTCGACTCCAGTGGTAAGCCTGTAGAGCGCTTTATAAAATTCATTCCTCTTTCAGGCCATGATGGAGAAACAATGATGAATGTAGTACTGGATACTCTGCTTGAACATGATCTCTCTATTATGAATTGCCGTGGCCAGAGCTACGACAATGCAAGTAACATGGGTAAATATAATGGATTGCAAGCCCGTATCAAGCAAATCAACCCACTTGCTGAATATGTGCCCTGCTCAGCACATTCTCTTAATCTTGTTGGGTCATGTGCTGCGGAGTGTTGTGTCGCTGCAGTTTCATTTTTTTGGACTTTTACAAGCACTCTTTAATTTTTTCTCTGCTTCAACGCATCGGTGGAGTATACTCAAGTCAACCATTCATGGAGATGTTATCAAATCATTATCAACAACAAGGTGGTCAGCGCAGCATGATGCAACACATGCTTTGAAAGACAGCTTTGCTGAAATACGTTCTGCTTTGATCCAAATAGCAGAGGATGAAGACCAGACAGCAACTACAAGAAGCGAAGCAGCCAGCTTAGCATCAAAATTGGAAGATTTTGAAGTGGCCTTACTCCGTGTGCTTTGGGACTGTATACTGGAACGGTTAAATGCCACGAACAAGACACTTCAGAAAATTGAAATTGAAATGGCTACTTGTGCTAACCTCTATGCAGGCTTAGTGGAATTTGTAAGCTCACTTCGCAATGATGAAGCTTTTGAAATGTTTGAAGAGAAAGCTAAACTGCTGGTGAAAGACTACAGTTACCGGGCAGATCATCAGCGGTCAAGGAAGAGGAAACGCAATTTTGAAGAGCCAGACAATGAAATTGTGTTGCTACCAAGGCAGAAATGTAAGACAGCTACATACTTCGTCATTCTGGATTCACTGATTACAGAATTGGTGAAAAGAAAAGAAATCTACCAGAATCTCAATGACAAGTTTGGATTTCTGTTCAAAATTACTACTATGCCAGATGCAGAATTGAGAGAAGCTGCATTAAAGTTGCAACAACACCTTTCAGCAGATGTTCAGGACACATTTGTTGAAGAAATAGTTCATTTTTCTGGGTATATGAATCAGATTAAAGCTCCACCTGAAAAATGTGCGCCCTCAGCTGCTTTGAAACATTTAAGAAATGCAGGTATCTCAGAAACCTTCCCTAATGTTGACATAGTGTATCGCCTTTACCTAACACTTCCAGCTACTAACTGTGAAGGAGAACGTTCATTTTCTGTTTTGAAAAGAGTGAAAAACCAGCTCCGTTCAACAATGAGCCAAGACAAATTGTGTAACCTAGCCTTGTTGACCATTGAGTCTGATCTAACAAGAAATATTGATTTTCAGAATATAATTGATGATTTTGCCAATATGAAATCCAGAAAACAGTTTATTTAAGAAGTGCCTGTGAATATAAACAATTCTTTACTTTCTTGAGTTTATATGATTTGATAGTCTTATGCATGATGCAATGATAACAATAATGGTCAGTGATTTATAAAGGGAATAATAGTGCTGTAGTGGTTATGCTGAATATAATAGGTACATGATGTCACTACTTTAATAGCCTAATCTAGTAATACTATGCTGTCTTGAGTTTATTCTCTTTAAAATGCATGATTTAACAAGGTAGTTATAATGGCTGTTGGTAAATGGTTTTGGTTGTCTTGATGTACTTTCCCTATTAAATTTAATCTAAATAGCCAGAATGTATTTAATTAGACCTTGGTATAAACCTTGGTAATAAATACCGACAAGTTGGTTTAGAAAGACACGTAAGCAAACACTATAACATATTTATTAGAAAACGTTTCGGTCCTGGGACCTTGATCACTTCTAACACCTTGATCACTTCTACCTCTGTATGTTAGAAGTGATCAAGGTCCCAGGACCGAAACGTTTTCTAATAAATATGTTATAGTGTTTGCTTACGTGTCTTTCTAAACCAATTAGGCCTTAAACAGGCTCACACCGACCCCCCCCCCCCCCACCCCAAAGCTGGAAGGGGTCGCTTCGCTTACCCGTAACTCAAAGGGGCCCCGCCAATCTGAATAGCCTAGGGCCCGGAGACTTCTTAATCCTGCACTGCACGACTAGGCCTCCCGGTGGATCAGGGCCTGATCAACGAAGCTGTTACTGCTAGCCGCACGTAGTCCAACGTACGATCCACAGCCCGGCTGATCCGGCACCGACTTTAGGTATCTGTCCAGCTCCCTCTTGAATACAACCAGGGGTTTGTAGATGAATGGTTCAGAGAACCGACATGTTGATAAATTAGACACATGTGCAACTCTTGGGTATCTTTATTGAGGAAACGTTTCGCCACACAGTGGCTTCATCAGTCCATACGTAGGAGAAACTTGAAGAACAGGAGGAGAATGAGGTAATCAGTCCCTCAACCTTGAGTCGATGTGTTCAGTCCATCAATCTTGAATAGACTGATGGACTGAACACATCGACTCAAGGTTGAGGGACTGATTACCTCATTCTCCTCCTGTTCTTCAAGTTTCTCCTACGTATGGACTGATGAAGCCACTGTGTGGCGAAACGTTTCCTCAATAAAGATACCCAAGAGTTGCACATGTGTCTAATTTATCAACAACCAGGGGTCTATTGGTAATGCCCCTTATGGCTTGTGGGAGGCTGTTGAACAGTCCACTATCCACACACCCAATGGAAATCAAGGACCCCAATGGAAATAAGTCACTTTGACTTTTTGGGGTTATCCTAGGTAGCCTACACATATGTTAGGTAAAATGACACAAGTGCAACTAGTGTGACATTTTATTGTGAAAACGTTTCACTCTCCAGGAGCTTTGTCAAGCCGTAACGGCTTGATAAAGCTCCTGGAGAGCGAAACGTTGCCACAATAAAATGTCACGTTACTTGCCCTCGTGTCATTTTACTTAACACATTGTCGGTAATTATGCCAACATTATTACAACCTATACATATCCTGCTATGTATGACAATTTATGTAACTGTATTTATGTGTACCTGTACCTGTATAAACTAACTTACTGACTTACATAGGTACCCAGTGGAAATAAGACACTGACTATTTTGGGTTATCCCAGGTTCTCTACACATATGCTCTTATGTATGATAATCTATATAACTGTATTTGTGTATACCTGAATAAACTAACTAACTTACAGACCCACTGACACCCCAGCATGAGCCACCAACAACAGGTCTTCGCGTAGCCTACACTAAACTGTTAAGACTAGATGTAGAGTTTCACTTCTGGATCCTCATAACACATCAGTTTGTTTACAAAGCGTTAAGAAGGGGGGATTTTTAGCAACTGAGGTATATCTCTTGTTGTTCTTTTGCTTATAGTGCTTATTACACATGAAAATAACTGCTACAGCTTCAGTGGTGATGATGAAGAGATCCTGATGGTCCATATATTGTTATATTGGGTGTACAACTAGCGCAAGTCCACGATGTCTGTAAAGAAATATTTACACTTTTATTTGGGGGTAGTTGAGTTGTATCGCGATTTGAGGTTGTGTTAGTGTTATGTGTTGATGAATAAGATATTTGTACAACACTTTGGAATCTTTATTCTGGAAACGTTTCGCCAGCCATTGACTTCCGTCCAGTGGTGAGAAACATTGTGAACAATAAAATGGTATAAAATACCGACAGGTTGTTAGGTAAGACACATATGCAACAGTTAGGTATCTTTATTTCGAAACGTTTCGCCTACACAGTAGGCTTCTCAACTTCTCTGTACTCGACTGAAGAAGCCTAATGTGTAGGCGAAACGTTTCGAAATAAAGATACCTAACTGTTACATATGTGTCTTACCTAACGAGAAACATTGTGTTGAGGAGTTTGATTACCTCAAACTCCTCATTGTCTTCTGGTAAATAATAATAATAATAATTTTTTCTACAAGTACATGATGCAGCTTATACAGACCATAGCTGACATCAGTGGCATACTATATAGAAAGCCCTTGGTCATGCAAAGCATTTCGGGCAACTTAGGGTGACTTTGACCCCATGATGCTACCCACGCCAGTTGATTATCACCCAGCTACCATTTTAGTGCTTGGTGAACAGGGATAACAGGTGTTTAAACCCTCCGGGGTTAAATATCTGAACAAAATATATTGCCTGTCTTAAGGAAACAGGCACAAATGTTTCCATCCATAATGGGGATCAAACCATGGACCTCAGTGTGTAAGCTGCGTGCACAACCAACCAAGCTAAGGGATTGAGGAAGCCTCTGGCTGGTGAAACATTTCCAGAATAAAGATTCCCAAGTGTTGCACAAGTGTCTTATTCACCATCTTGTTGGTTTTCTAAACCATATATCCAAACAGTATATTTTCAAATGATTGTAAGGTCCTTTTGATGAGTCTTCAAGTTGGGTACCATGTTGCTGGTGAAGAACATAATAGCAAAGTTGCGTCTAACTAGCACCCAACCAGGTCCACTCATGTACCTGTCCAACCTATTGGTGTCCCATGGCCTGGTAGGCAACGCTCTTGCCTCACACACCGAGTGTCCGTGGTTCAGTCCCTGGCTGGGTGGAAACGTTGGGCATGTTTCATTACACCTGTTGTCCCTGTTCACAAAGGTAGAGGGTACCTACCTGGGTGTTTGTCAACTGATGTGGGTCGCATCATGGGGGACAAAATTCAAGGACCCCAATGGAAATAAGACACAGTCCTCGATGTTGCACGGACTTTCTTGGGTTATCCTGGGTGGCTAACCCTCTGGGTTAAAAATACGATCAAAATCTTATCTCTCTTATCTTATATACTACTTTTGAGTCTTAAGTTCAGCATTAATTTTTTGAGCTAAATATTCTGAAATTGATGTGATTCTACATTTTTAAATTTTGTTTGCGTTGTCTTCTGTAAAAATAAAGTGGAAATAAGACTTCAAGTAGCCTTATCTTTGTTAGGCTTACACCTTGACAGCAACCAGAAATTAAACATTTGCATCCAGCACATATCTGAGAAATTTTCAAAAACTATGCATTCTTTCATAAATATGTACCACATAACATTACTCTGTATAACTCTTTAATCTACCTCACTTACAGTATCTGTACATGGAAATTTACAATACCAAACCACCTAGAATCCATAGGTGCTCAACAAAAATCATTTAATATAATGAGTGTTCAATCAGATTCCAGATAACACACTCCTACTGTTTAAAAGTCTAACTTAACCTACAAAACATTCATACATACTACCCTACATGCTGTATATACAGGACACTTGGTACCAATGTGAATCCAGCTTTCTGACTTCCAGGAAAGCTGCAACAGAGCACATCAACACAATACCAGAAACGAGTATCTCTGTAATGTAGACTATCATAGCCTACCATGTGTTTGACTTAACTGTTTAGAAACTCCATGCAAATAAAAGGTCCTAAAATATGGTGCTTCCTACTAGAAGATGCAAAAAGATTCCCTATCTGGCAACAGCTTAAAAAATATTGTTAAAAATTACCTCCTAAATCTGCTGTAACTTCTGCATAGATTAAATATATAAATGTATGGCTTAATCTTTTCAAAAACTCAAAGTGCATAAAAGGACCTGAAATATGGAACTCTCTACCTGAAAACTCGAGTCTCTCTGCCAGCCATTTCAAAGCTACTGTTAAAAAATATCCCCTTTCCCTAATGTGATTCTAACAACAGTCAATTATACCAAACAATTCTTTCAACCTCTATTGTCCCTGTTCCTTGTCTACTGTTCATACATCACATGTACTTAGCTTCTTTCTTAATATATCTCAAATTACACTTTTTTTTTATTGAATTGTTAAATACCTTCATTATTTTAAAAAATATGTATTTTTTTTTTAACACGTTGGTTGTCTCCCACTGAGGCAGGGTGACCCAGAAAGAAGAAAATCCCCAAAAGAAAAATACTTTATCATCATTCAACACTTTCACCTCACTCATACATAATCACTGTCTTCACAGAGGTTTTCAGATATGATAGTTAAGAAGCCCCTTCAAACTGCCAAATTATCCCAAACCCCTCCTTTTAAAGTGTAGGCATTGTACTTCCCATTTACAGGACTCAAGTCCTGCTATGTACGTATTCTTATTTGTATATATTTGTAATCATAATTTAGTTTTAAGGCTGCCTGAAATGCTTTGCATATCAAGGGGCTTTCTATAAAATAGCAATATACATATGTCAATCACCCTAATTGTATAATATATTGTTTTGTTTTTTGTTTTACCACATACAATTTATATGTCCAGACTTGACTTGTACTCACCGTAGTGCAGGCGAGAGATACATCATAATCTGCACCTGGAAGATCCTGGAGGGGCTGGTCCCTAATCTTCACACAGATATCACCCCCCTACAAAAGCAAAGACTTGGCAGGTGATGCAACACACCCCCAGTGCCCAGGGCCCAACACTGTTCAACAGCCTCTCACCAGCTGTAAGGGGAATTACCAGTACACCCCTGGTTGTCTTCAAGACAGAGCTGGACAGATACCTAAAGTTAATGCCGGATTAGCAGGGCTGTGGTTCGTATGTTAGACTACATGCGGCCAGCAATAACAGCCTCGTTGACCAAGCCATGATCCACCTTGAGGCCTGGTCATGGACTGGGCCGTGGGGATATTGATCCCTGGAATACCCTCCAGGTAGACCAGTTCAGCACTCATACTCTTGCTCCTATTGTCACCAAAATTCCATTACAATTCTGTATTAACCCTTTGACTGTCGCATCCCCCAATCCTGAGGTGTCTCCTGGTGTCGCAAAATTTAAAAAAAAAAAAAAAAAAAAAAAATTCTTATGAAATGATAGAGAATCTTTTCCCGATTGTAAAGACACCAAAAACACGAAATTTGATGGAAAACTGACGGAATTGTGCTCTCGCGAAGTTAGCGACCTCGGCGATATTTACAAATCGGCGATTTCGCCCACTTTGAGCCCTATTTTCGGCTAATTCCATTATTCCAGTCAACCAAAACTCATAGCTATTTCTTCAGAACTCCATTTTTTCCATCGATTGAGTACAAGAAACTGCCCATTTACCGATTTCAAACTACCCAATAACATGGTCAGAAATTTGCAATTTGGCCAATTTCACGAAAATTAAAAAATATGACAATTTCAAAATAAGGACCAAATGAACAATGCAGACATTCCTGGCTCTAAAATAACATTTTCTTGTGTTCATCAGTCATGTCTCCAGGCCCCTCTGATATTACTCTTGCTTTTTATTTTGAAATTTTATTCAAACAAAAAACAGAAGATTTACTGTTATGCAGACTACTGCAATACAGTAATAATTGTAAAATTACATCAACCCATTCATGACTGCATATTAGAATGGCTATTTGGACATTTATTGGACAATGACATCATTTGTTACTTTTGAACATCACAAAAATCAAACATTTCCCATATTTTGTGCTCCATTTCCAGGTTCTTTTTATAGTAAAATTAATCAAAATCACCTCTATTTCTATAATATAGTTTCCATTCTATCAAATGAGACCAAGAAAACGAGAATACAACTACAAATACTATACGAAAATAGACCACAAAGTCGGCATTTTAATTAAAAAAAAACAGAGTTTTTTTTCTCATTATGCACTGCATGCTCCAGGATTTTTTTTATATGGTGCACACTGACCACACAGATCCATTCTCTCACATGTGGGCCTACCAGCTTTCTCCTGCCTGATTTGAAGCCGCTAGAATTTATGAGTATATATACGTCAAACACGGTACCTCGTAAACGTATATATACGGCCGCGACAGTCAAAGGGTTAAACTGTTACAGATAGTACAGAAAAATGTTATATAAAATGTTTAAAGTTTTTGTTTTTTAATACACTGGCTATCTCCTAATAAGGCAGGGTGACCCGAAAAAGAGCAAACAAAAGTTTTTCTTCTTTCCACATGTTACATGTACAGTGAAACCTTGGTTTTCATTTGCCCAGGTTTTTGTCAAATTCAGCTTTCAACGATTCTTTTCGTCACAACATTGTCCCAATTTTTGTTCATCACCTCGGTTTTTGTCTGCTGTACGGAACATGTCTGTCTGCCCGTTCCCACACAAAGCATCCCATGCACGCATTCTGAGTCAGTCTGGCTTTGTGTCTCATTGAGTGAATATTGCCCTGCGCATTCATAGGAAAAATTTTGTAATAATCCGTTATTTTTTGTGCTTGTTTATTGAGTGAGACTGCTAAATAATCCACCATGGGGCCAAAGAAAGTTCCAAGTGCCAACCCTTTTATAAAGAAGGCGAGAAACATGATAGAATCCAAGAAAGAACTCGTAGCAAAGTATGAAAGTGGAATGAGTTGCAAAGTTTTGTAGAGAAATATCACTACCACCCTCTACAAAGGTAGAGGGTGGTAGTGATTGTGGTAGAGGGTGGTAGTGATGGTGGTGGTAATGGTGGTGGTAGAGGGTGGTAGTGGTTGTGATGGTGGTAGAGGGTGGTAGTGGTTGTGATGGTGATAGAGGGTTGTAGTGATGGTGGTAGAGATAACCTCTCCTCCCTCTTCTCTCCTCGCCGTCTTCCATACGCCAACAATAAAGGTAAAAGTGATGTTAAATGTTCATTTATCCATTTCATTAGTGCTTTATATTTATTTCTCATTGTTTTCTGTATGTAAAACTATAGTTATTCTCTATAAAATGTATTTTTTGTTAATATTTTTGGGTGTCTGGAACTGATCAAATTGGATTTACATTATTCTTATGGGAAATATTACTTCAGTTTTCGTTGGATTCGGTTTTTGTCGGACTCTCTGGAACAAATTAAAGATGAAAACCGAGGTTTCACCGTACTGTAAAACATAGTACTTAAAAATCTAAACTTCAATTATACATTGTCAAGCTGTTTTAAGCTAGTTTTGACTGCCCCGAAAACCTTGCATAACCAGGGACTTTCTCCTTAGGCCATAAAAACACATCGCCTAAATTTATAACAATGTCTTCAAAACTGTCTTCAAGCAGGCACTGGACAAGCACCCCAAGGCGGTACCTGACCAGCTGGGTGTGGCTCATACATTGGGTTGCATGCATTCAGCATTAACAGCCTGGTTGATCAGGCTCTGATCCCCCCATGAGGCTGGTCACATACCGGGTGTGGGGGCGTTGACCCCCGGAACTCTCTCCAGGTAAAATCCAGGTATACTTTTTTGGGGAAATAAAAACAAAATTTATACTGTACAAGTCAAGCAAGCACTTATCACAACAAATTTTAGGCAACACACTGTGCTCTTATTCTAATCCACAAACCTATTAATTGTTAAGGTCTCTACATACTACTGTTCACTTCTCATCTTTAAAACACTACAGATGTTGATGGTTATTAGTGAATTTAAACTTGGTGTTATGATTATTTCTTGGTATTTCTTGGAGCCTCTTATGCTGCCTCCTTTCACTTACAGCACTGAGCTATACAGTGGAAACTTGGTACTCAAACAGCTCCCTACTCGAACAAAGCTCGGCACTCGATCAAACAAACACGACCTGCCAGAACATTGCTGTAAACTATTTCGTGTTTCTTTGCATTTTTTGGTGTTTTTTTATATTATTTGTATAAATAAGTCACCATGGGGCCTAGGAAAATTTGTGGTTGGGAAGAATTCATTTGATACTCGAATGGATCAGCACTCGAACAACCTTCTGGAATGAATTAAATTCGAGTAGCAAGGTTCCATTGTACGGTGGCTTTGCTGTTCCCAGGCTAAGGTTGGACTCAGGGAATTTTTTTTCATTATGAATATACTGTATATGGAACAAAAGAAAATACTGTACAATATTGCAGATTTTTTGTACAAAAACAGAAAAAGTAAATTTACAGATTTCTTCCTGAGAACCAAAATTAATTATGTATGGACTCTTACTGAATATAAATGCAAGTACGGGTGGGCCCTGCATATACAGCACCTTTTTTTCAGTGTTCCACATTTTCATTGGCTTTCAGTTGAGGCATTGTTCATTATGTTCAGTGATTTTACTGCTTTTCTGCCATTTTCTACATTTTTGTACAACAGTTGCATAAGCAAAGGGTGACCAGTGTCATATTTTAAGGTAAGTATTGTATGTATTGTTTATTAATTTATTTTTTTATCTTTTATGTTCAGGTCTATTGAGCACTTAATAGTATATGATAGTGTAAACATGTTATCAGGAGTTTTATATACATTCGATAATGAAAAAAAAGTCTTTTACATCTGCTAGCAATTTTCACTTACTGTATGGAATCTGGGACCTAAAAGCCATACAAATGGGGCCCTTTTGTAACAAAGATATCCCACTGGATTTATGTCATTATATTTGTCCTGGAAATGGGAAGTACAATGCCTGCACTCTAAAGGAGGGGTTCGGGATATTAGTAGTTTGGAGGGATATGTTGTGTATCTTTATACGTATATGCTTCTAAACTGTTGTGTTCTGAGCACCTCTGCAAAAACAGTGATTATGTGTGAGTGAGGTGAAAGTGTTGAATGATGATGAAAGTATTTTCTTTTTGGGGATTTTCTTTCTTTTTGGGTCACCCTGCCTCGGTGGGAGACGGCCGACTTGTTGAAAAAAAAAAAAAAAATTGTCCTATGTCTAACAGAAACCTGGACAAAATATATTAATACATGAAATTAGCATACCTTGCTAATACAACGCTTAACTTTAGAGCGCTTCACTAATATGGAGCTTTTCAATTATATCCATGATTATTATTTTTGGCAGTGACACGCACATCAGCTGACCAGTACCATTTTTTTATTCATTTTTACTTTTGCATTTTTTTTTTTTTTTAGACCCCTAGCACTAGTGCATACTGATAAATGACAGTGTAAACATATTTTTAGGCTGTTATATGAACTGGCAAGTGAAAAAAAGGCTGATTTGCCATATTAGCGAGGTATGATTGTCTTTCTTTGCTCCTTAGGCATAGACTAGATTTCATGTTTTTTTTAAAAGCATAGTTAAGTGTGCTATGTTGTATCCAAGTGTTTAAACAAATTTTTTGACTTCATAATTCTTTTCAGTTTGAATCAGTATGAAGGAGGAGGATGATCTACAGCTTATATTAACATGGAGAGACCATAAACAAGTTCTTACACTGGTTATGGAAACTTTGCGTTACAAGGTAAAGTGATGTTTTTATATTAACTATTTATATATACAGTGGTCCCTCGCTTTTCGTAGTTCTCGGCAATCATTAATTTCGCCAATCATAGGGGTATTTTCGTATAAACATGGACTCGCTTTTCATAGGTTGACTCGCGAATAGTAGTTCTTCCGGGATGCATACGCACGGCGTGAGCCGGGGCGGCCTCCCTACCCAGCCACTCTGGCATTGTTTACCAGTGAGTGAAGGTCCCCTCAAGTGCTCCTCCGAAATATTTCATAATATTTCACTCATTTTAGTGCTTGCAATTACTAAATAAGCTACCATGGCTCCAAAGAAAGCTCCTAGTGCCAAGCCTGTAGTAAAGAAGGTGAGAAATATGTACAGTGACAAAGTCTTGGGCCATTTTAGGGAAGTGTTAAAGAGACGCCAGAAACAGAGCTCTCTCCACAGTTACTTTGCGAGACAGGACTAGAGTGACTCTCAAGGTGGTCCTAGTGGCATTAAGAAACAGAGAAGAGAAGCAACCCCTGAGAAGCAATTGGTACATGAGGTGTTGCGGGAAAGGGGGATTCCCCTTCCAAACTGTAAACAATCCAATCTCTCTCCTCCTCCAGTCTCCAATACACTAAGAAGAATCTCCAATAAAGGTAAGTGTTATGCTGTTAATGTTTCATTCATCATTTCTCATTGTGTTGTTTATGTACTATATGTATATTTCATGTAAAAATTTTTTGTTTTAATACTTCTGGGTGTCAGGACGGATTAATTGTATTTACATTATTTCTTATGGGGAAAATTGATTCGCAAATCGTAAATTTCGTTTATAGTAGCTCCTCCAGGAACAGATTAATTATGAAAAACGAGGGACCACTGTACAGTGTACAGTATATTATATTATGTGCATGCAGACATTCTCACTTACATGCATGCTCACACGTATCCACATGCTCTCTCATGTACACACACACATGCACACAAGCATGAGTGCATGTGCATGCACGTACACGCATTCATGCGCACACTTGCATGTACAGTGGTACCCCGAGTTTCGGCTATAATTCATTCCAGAAGGCTGTTCGAGTGCCATTACTGAACGAATTTGTTCCCATAAGGAATAATGTAAATTAGATTAGTCCATTTCAGACCCCCCAAAAATACACTTACTAAGCACTTACAATAATACACTTACATAATTGTTCAAGTTGGGAGCTGTACGAAACTCGGGGTACCACTGTAGCATGTATGGACGTGGATGTACATACATAGTTATTGTGCACATACATGCATATATCAATAACAGTATGTGAAACCTTGTTAAAATGGACTGATATGGGAAAGTGATTGTCCACTTTAATGAAAATCCACTGTATGGAAGAAATTGAAACAGCAAAGAACATGTATTGCATAGATGGACAACCATATATGGACAAATGCCCATTGCAGTGAACTGAGTCCTCTGTATTGATGACAGTAAAGGACATACTAAGAATAAACTATAATATTGCAATGTAGTACAGTAAATTACAGTTTGGTATCTGAAAATAAGAGATAAAAGTACAATACAGTAGAGTACAACAATTTTTCTTACCTTTTCTGGTGGCTATGCTCGTAATTGGATTACAGTATTGTCTAGTGGTCATTCAAAATAATTTTTATTCTGAGTCAGAATAACTTTTATTGTGAGTCAGAGGAGCTGTATAGCTCCAGCATAATATTGTAGCTGGTGTGGGAGATATACAAATAGATTGTATGGGAGATGTAGATGGTTCAGCAGATGTAGATGGTTGAGGAGACATAAATGTAATACCAGCCTTACCATAAATGTTTATATTAAGTTAAAAGCATTTATGGAAATGCCAGAGTAAACCATCAGTTGCCCCAAATTCCATTCCCATATAGCTTGCTAGCTTCTTAGTAGCAGAACAAAGCTTAACAGAACGAATGTTAACACTAGTAGCACACTGTTGAACATACCATTCTTGCACTGAATCCTTGTATCTTGGGCCATATTCATATTCTTCCTCAGAACAACTAACCTCTAGTGTACTTCTTAGATTATGCTGTAAGTTTGTTTTTCCTTCTACGAATGTCACACACTTTTTGCTGTGCTTCCCCCACACTCTCCACACATTTGGCCGCTGAGATGCCCAACTCCTCTTCCTTATTAATTCAATCTTCTGCTTAACACTTAAGTTCACATGCTTCATGGCATGTGAATGTAAAATATGAACTTGCTTTAGAGGCCATTGTTAATAACGCTGTACAGTGCACTTCAATAAAGTAATGATAAACACACTAATTCTAGGGAAAAATTGGAGACAACATGACGATAGTATGTCAGTACATATGCACCCAGGTAATAGCAAACTGATATAAAGTGAGCCACTGGCTCTGCTGCCCAGGAGCAGTGAAAATAGACAGGTCATAGATAAAGCCAGAACTGGACAATTCTACAGTGAAGCAGACTTAGTCCATTTCTTTGATGGTATGACTGGACCAGACAACTGTGTGATGCAGCAGACTTGGTCTATTGCATTGGTAATTTTACCACACACCTTCATATGGCAGATTTACTGAGTCTTTGTCTGGACAGATTTTTTATTGTTGTACCTGAAATCCATTGCATAGATGTGCATCATACCAAAGTTTTATTGTATCTCAAACCACAAAAGAAGTATAAAAGTAAGTTCTCAGTGTATGTACACACACATGCAGCTTGGAGTGTTTGTAGAGAAAGGGTTCTCAGTATACAGCATAGAGACAAACAACACTGGGTGTGTAATTGTGTATCTGTTATATATATATATAATATATATATATATATAATATATATATATATATATATATATATATATATATATATATATATATATATATATATATATATATATATATATATATATATACACACATACATACATACATACATACATACATACTCCTACTGCTCATTTGATAGAACATGTAAATTGAGTATTTTTGTACCATATAACAGTACACTATTTTTTTAACACACAGACTGTCTCCTACTGAGGCAGGGTGACCCAAAAAAGAAGAAACTCATAAAAAATTGTCTTCCCTTTACATTTAGCAATAGAAACTCATCACACATGCATTGAACAGCCATGTACCAAAGATACTGCAAATGCAGGAAAAACCAAACTTCATAACCATAAATTTCATTCCAGGAATTGTTCGCTGATGTTACCCTGATCTGCGGTGAGAAACAGTATGCTGTTCACAAGTTTGTTCTGTGTACTTGTAGTCCATATTTTGAGGAGTTGCTTGAGTGTGTACCATGTGAACATCCAGTGTTGGTTTTAACAGAAACCTCACATGAAACTTTGGAGGCACTGCTTGACTTTATGTACCTGGGCCAGACAGATTTCTGTTCCAAAGATTTGGATCGACTACTTGATCTTGCATATGAGTTCAGAATTAAAGGATTAATTAGCCCCAAAGATGAAGCAGACAGACAAGTATGTATAATACAATGTTCTAATAAATATATTCTTTATTAAATGTTAAAAGTAATTCATCTTTGTTGCAATAATTTAATTAAATCTATTTTTATAGTAAGGATATCATAGTATAGAAATGATGCTTTTCTTTCTTGATTTAGGAGATGTGGTTTTGATTATTTGCCAAGGCAGGTTTGGCAGTTTTATTTGCTTAAGTGTGTCCTAGACTTTGTGTCTGGTGCCTGCACATTGAGCTTTTCTCACGTATGGTGCCAGCTGTCAGAATTGAATTAGAAGACATAGATAACATTTTTGGATTTTTAGAGGGATCTTTTAATTGAACCTTTGCCATCTGAACCCATCAAAAATGCCATTTACTCTGTACATTCAATCTATACAAGTTTACCTCTGACTTTTTTGCCTCAAAATTCTCACTTTTTCCTATAGCACATCTCATAACTTGAAGAACTAAGGGACGGTAGAAAATTTGAAAATTCAAGTACAGTAAACCCTCATTTTACTGGACTACTAGGAAGGAGTGGGTAGTTGGTACTGGTGATTGTGTTCACAACTATGACAGATAATTCTGTCACCAGTGGATTTTGTTCCTTATTTTCAAATTGATTGACTTATCAGATTTTATCCCATGTTTCTGAAGTTCAAAAAATTGAAGGTTTCCTGTACTGCACTAGGTATTGGTATTATGTTGAAGCCATTGTATTGAGATTGGTTGCATACTCTGATTTTATCTATGCAAAATAAAAGGTAGCCTTCTATCTAATGATACATATATCTTATTAAAGTTTAACCAAACACTCAAATATATGGAAAAAAGTAAAATAAAGTAAAAATCAATCTGTAATAGGTTAGTATTGCTTTTGAGTTATTATATATCAAGGTCAGGTATGCAGCATAGCTTTCTCTGAACAAAACATGTCTCTCAGAGATACAAGAATACAAGATCAGCAGTAAGCTTTCTTGCCCATGTTAGGCTGCACCTACCCATTCTACTCGTGTAGAAAAGTGTAATAGGTGTATGAAGGTTAGACTTAATCATCATTAGCCAATAAGCCTACTTTTTTTTTTTCAGAAACTTGAAAAGGATTCAGTTAAGCAAGAGCTCTCTGAGGTTATGCCAGATAAAACCACCCTATCAAAGGTTAGTGGCAGTTTTTTCTTGAAGGATTCCTTAAACATAAATAAAATTAAGATTGTAAATTATTTTTAATTTGAATTGTAAGTGGTAATTTTTTTTTTTTTTTTGCAGGAACTTAAAAACGATTCAGTTCAGCAAGAGCTTTCCAAGGTGATAACAGATGACACCAAATCATCAAAGGTTAGTGGTAGACTTTTCCTGTAATTTCTTGAACATGAATTAGTTTAAGAAAAAGTTTTGGAGTGAGATTAACAAGTTAAGGAAGCCTAGAGAACAAATGGATTTGCCAGTTAAAAATAGGAGAGGAGAGTTATTAAATGGAGAGTTAGAGGTATTGGGAAGATGGAGGGAATATTTTGAGGAATTGTTAAATGTTGATGAAGTTAGGGAAGCTGTGATTTAGTGTATAGGGCAAGGAGGAATAACATCTTGTAGGAGTGAGGAAGAGCCAGTTGTGAGTGTGGGGGAAGTTCGTGAGGCAGTAGGTAAAATGAAAGGGGGTAAGGCAGCCGGGATTGATGGGATAAAGATAGAAATGTTAAAAGCAGGTGGGGATATAGTTTTGGAGTGGTTGGTGCAATTATTTAATAAATGTATGGAAGAGGGTAAGGTACCTAGGGATTGGCAGAGAGCATGCATAGTTCCTTTGTATAAAGGCAAAGGGGACAAAAGAGAGTGCAAAAATTATAGGGGGATAAGTCTGTTGAGTATACCTGGTAAAGTGTATGGTAGAGTTATTATTGAAAGAATTAAGAGTAAGATGGAAAATAGGATAGCAGATGAACAAGGAGGCTTTAGGAAAGGTAGGGGGTGTGTGGACCAGGTGTTTACAGTGAAACATATAAGTGAACAGTATTTAGATAAGGCTAAAGAGGTCTTTGTGGCATTTATGGATTTGGAAAAGGCATATGACAGGGTGGATAGGGGCAATGGTGGCAGATGTTGCAGGTGTAGGGTGTAGGAGGTAGGTTACTGAAAGCAGTGAAGAGTTTTTACGAGGATAGTGAGGCTCAAGTTAGAGTATGTAGGAAAGAGGGAAATTATTTCACAGTAAAAGTAGCCTTAGACAAGGATGTGTGATGTCACCGTGGTTGTTTAATATATTTATAGATGGGGTTGTAAGAGAAGTAAATGCGAGGGTCTTGGGCAAGAGGCGTGGAGTTAAAAGATAAAGAATCACACATAAAGTGGGAGTTGTCACAGTTGCTCTTTGCTGATGACACTGTGCTCTTGGGAGATTCTGAAGAGAAGTTGCAGAGATTGGTGGATGAATTTGGTAGGGTATGCAAAAGAAGAAAATTAAAAGTGAATACAGGAAAGAGTAAGGTTATGAGGATAACAAAAAGATTAGGTGATAAAAGATTGGATATCAGATTGGAGGAGAGAGTATTGTGGAGGGGAATGTATTCAGATATTTGGGAGTGGACGTGTCAGCGGATGGGTCTATGAAAGATGAGGTGAATCATAGAATTGATGAGGGGAAAAGGGTGAGTGGTGCACTTAGGAGTCTGTGGAGACAAAGAACTTTGTCCTTGGAGGCAAAGAGGGAATGTATGAGAGTATAGTTTTACCAACGCTCTTATATGGGTGTGAAGCATGGGTGATGAATGTTGCAGCGAGGAGAAGGCTGGAGGGAGTGGAGATGTCATGTATGAGGGCAATGTGTGGTGTGAATATAATACAGAGAATTCGTAGTTTGGAAGTTGGGAGGAGGTGCGGGATTACCAAAACTGTTGTCCAGAGGGCTGAGGAAGGGTTGTTGAGGTGGTTCGGACATGTAGAGAGAATGGAGAGGAATGTAGTGGAAGGAATGCGGGGTAGGGTCGGCCTAGAAAGGTTGGAGGGAGGGGGTAAAGGAGGTTTTGTGTGCGAGGGGCTTGGACTTCCCAGCAGGCACGCGTGAGTGTGTTTGATAGGAGTGAATGGAGACAAATGGTTTTTAATACTTGACGGCTGTTGGAGTGTGAGCAAAGTAACAATTTTTGAAGGGGTTCAGGGAAACCGGCAGGCCGGACTTGAGTCCTGGAGATGGGAAGTACAGTGCCCCGCACTCTGAAGGAGGGTGTTAATGTTGCAGTTTAAAAACTGTAGTGTAAAGCACCCTTCTGGCAAGACAGTGATGGAGTGAATGATGGTGAAAGTTTTTCTTTTTCGGGCCACCCTGCCTTGGTGGGAATCGGCCAGTGTGATAATAATAATAAAAAAAAAAGAATTAGATTAAGATTGTAGACTGTAAATTTTAGCATTTTTCTTTGGAATATATAAAAAATATTTTTTTTTTTCAGGGACTTAAAAGGAATTTAGTCAAGCAAGAACTTTCTGAGGTTATGTCAGATAAATCTACACACTCAGAGGTTAGTGTCAAATTTTTGCTTGGAGGATTCCTTGAACATGAGTTAGATCAAGATTGCTGATTAAGAGACTTTAATTAATGGAAATGATACAGCACATCAACATATTTCTTATATAAGTTAGCTGAAAATTATGTTGTTGGCCATTTATAGCATTTTTCAAAATTTCAAGTGGCTTCATTGTTTTTGAGTTGCACTGAGATACTTTACATTTCCATACATATCAGCTGTAGTGTGTATGAACTGTCACCCACTGGTTAGTGAAATACGTACACTAGAGGTACGTATGTCTGTGGCTCGGTTAGCAACATTCTGTCTTAACACGCTGAGTGCCCATGATTTGATCCCCAACATGGGTGGAAATACTGGTTGCGTTTCCTTACACCTGATATCCCTGTTCACCTAGCAGTAAGTAGGTACCTGGGTGTTAGTCGACTTGTGTGAGTCGCATCTTAGGGGACAAAATTGAAGGACTCCGATGGAAATGAGACAGATAGTCCTTGATGACAAGCTGATTTTCTTGAGTTATCCTAGGTGACTAGCCCTCCTGGTTAAAATCCAAACAAAATCTTTTCTATGGTCCTGAAAACCACTATGTTGTAAAGGCAAAAATTCTCAGTGTTTATTATGCATTGCATGACTTGCAGGAAGAACTGAGTTAGGGTTCAGGACTCTTGATAGACGCATATAATTTTTTATTCAGAAGTTTATACTGAATAGCAGTAAATTGTGCATTGATGTCTGTGTGCTAATTTCCTACTCATCCTCTTGATTGAATTTAGTAATTATGTTTAAAGGTGTTTGAGTGAGCCATAATTTCTGGTATCTAGTTAAATGATAAATTAGACACATGTGCAACTCTTGGGTATCTTTATTAAGGAAGTGGGTTTACAGATCCAATGAAATAAGGCTGGTTTAATGAGCAGTTTGCGGTTTTCGCGTTTCAGCTTGTACTTTGCACCTGCATGGCTTAATCTTTGAGACAAGCATAAGATACCCAAGAGTTGCACATGTGTCTAATTTATCAACGTGTCGGTTCTGTGAACCATTCATCTACAATCTAGTTAAATTCCTAAATATTTGACTTATGCCATAGTCACCGTTTTAACTTCCCAATGTAACCATACCTGTCAGCTGTTTATTGAAGTAGAAGGTTAATAGTACCTTTCTTTAGAGTTTTTTCACTTAACCCTTTTGCTGTCTTCCACATAGATAGATGTTAACCCTTTTACTGTCTTCCACATAGATAGATGTTAACCCTTTTACTGTCTTCCACATAGATAGATGTTAACCCTTTTACTGTCTTCCACATAGATAGATGTTATTGATGCCAGTTTTGCTTATGTAGATCTACATTTAAGCACAGCACCCTCAGATATGGTATGAGTGGTAAATTTCAGCCTAGACTTGAGATAATGGGTCTGTGCAGTCAGTGTACACATTTTAAAAAAATCATGCCCCATGCAGTGCATGATGAGAAAAGCAAACTTCTTGACTTTATTTTTTGTTTAAAATTTTGAGGTGTTTTCTAGTGTAATTTAATGGTATTATTGGCTGTTTCTGGTATCAATTAATAGAATGGAATATTAACAGGGAAATTGAGATGAAGTAGCTGAAAATAGGGTTTTCAAAATAGTGGAAATAATATATTTTTTGGTAGTTTTCCTGAGGAACAATAGGGGGCTTCCCTATCCCCATCCTAGTAGTCTTTTACTAGAGCCTCTTCGATTACTGGGGCAACCTAAACCGTAACCAGTCAATGTTGGTTATACAGTGGACCCCCGACTAACGATATTATTTCAATCCAGAAGTCTGATCGGGTGCCGTTATAGACCGAATTTGTTTCCCATAAGGAATATTGTGAATTAGATTAGTCCGTTTCAGACCCCCAAAATACACCTACAAAAGCACCTCAAAAATACACTTAACAATTGGTCAAGTTGGGAGCTGATTGTTAGTCGGGGGTCCACTGTATTATATATATCAGAGAAATTGGGTAAAACTTTGATCTTTTTGTGTGACAGTGGATTCAGAATGGAGAGAGAGAATAGGTTGCCTTAGTGGCTGGAAGGTCTGCAGTGTTTCTTTTGGACTATTGCACTCTATATGGTAAAATTCTTGGTTTACCTGATGCTGCCAAGAATCTACAGTACCGTATGTAAAATTCTGTCATATTTTTGAAGGCATTACAGTTTTAAATGCTCTTACTGAACTTAGCCTTACTTAACACATGATTTACATGCTGCACATATACTTTACAAGAAGAAAAAGAAAACAAAAGTTGAGTGCCATATTTTATTTAATATGTACTTCAGTTTAATTTGCACTTCAATTTGATATGTACTTCAATTTGGTTTAATTCTTCTTCTTCTTTCAACAAACCGGTCGTATCCCACCAAAGCAGGGTGGCCCAAAAAGAAAAACAAAAATTTCTCTTTTCAAAGTTAGTAATGTATACAGGATAAGGGGTTACTAGCCCCTTGCTCCAGTTAGGTTTAATATGTACTTAAATTTAATATGTACTTCAATTTGATGTTTAATACCTTTGGAAAATCCTAATTTCACATCACCTTTGGCCTTGATTGAGCCAACCTTTCAGTTGTCCACTGTATGTATGATCACATGGCTTTACTTGCCTCAAGTGATGGGCGGTGAAAGAGAATCACATCTATAATTTCTCATATTCAAAATCAGTTAATAATCTAAAGACTGTGAAATCATGTTTATTCATATTCATCCATGCTTCAATTTAGATTAAATTGTTTGATTAGTGTTCCCATATTATTTTATATTAATTATTCTCAACAGAGCATTCAAGAGAAGAGTGATAAAGATGGGAAAATTGGTGAAAAGGATTGCAAAGCAAATGATAAGGATGGCATAGTTAGTGGTGAAAATGACAAAGGTAGTGTTAAAGGTGGCAAAGTTAGTGACAAAACTAAATTAGAAGAAAGAAATCTAAAGAAATCTCCTAAAATTTATGCATGTAAAAACTGCAATAAAACATTTGGGGAACCAGTCCAGTTAGAAAAACATATGGTGGTTCATATAGAAGAAAAAGCTCTTATCATGCCTGAGTGCCCATACAGAACTCTAAGTAAAGTTACTTTAAGCAAGCACATTTTAACACATGTGAAAAAAAGGCATACTCTTGTCCATACTGCCCAGATCGCCACTGTCTTGAAAAGCAGCATGTTTTACACCAGAGACGGATGCATCCAAAGATGAAGGTTGTCATTAATGAGTCTTCAGTACCAGGCTTGGGAAAATCACTTCATAAAAAGCCCAAAGTCAGTAAAAATACAGTTAAAGAAAAAGTCATGTCACCATCACTACCTTTACAGAAAATTCATAAATCTTCAGAATCTGGCTTCTCACCATTGCAGACTCTTGAAAGTAATGCAAGTAATAGAGTCAGTCCTTCACCATCACCAACAGCAAAAGCTCTGATTAGTCCAAACTCTAGTGCTTCCTTATCGCTACCATCCAAAGTTCCAGAGTTCACCCGCATGTCTCCATCACTACCTCCTCCTTCAGAGATGGCAAAGCATACCAGATCCAACTCCTCACCATTACTTCCACCACCAGCAAAAGTTCGAAGAATCTGTAGGAACACTACATCACCATCATCACCATCAAGAATACAGAAAAAATCTAAATTTAGCTCTTCCTCATTACCACCAGCTAAAGTCAGAACCAGCAGAGAGATTATATCCTCATCTTCAACACAGAAGGTGCCAAAAAATGCTGGCTCTAGCACATCTGCATCATCAGTAGTTGGGAAAAGGAAGAGGTTAAGCATATCTCCTTCACCACCCCTAGATTCCTCAAGAAGTTCTAGCTGCTCTAGCTCTTCAATCAAAAGCCCTGAATATGGTCCTTCACCTTCACCACCACCATCTAAATATGTAAGAAGCACAAGATCCAACACAGTGGCAGAATCATTAAGACGGCAGTCTAGAGAGAAATAAATTAGTTTACAGTACTACTTGCAAGTCTTAAATTATATTATTTAAAAGAATTCACTATTTCTTTTGAGATTATTCTACAGTAAGTTTAGGTAAAAAAATCCTCCCATGTTATAACAGTTAGATATTTTTATACAATAATAAATGTTTGATGTATGATTTCTATGTAAATAACATTGCAATAAATTGAACATTTTTCTTACAATTGTCTGATGCCATGCATAGTTTAACTAAATTTTAGAAACAAGCTAAAATTTCAATACTTACCCAGTAACAGCTCAGCATGGAGATACTGGCATGATGGATAAATACAGAAATGCAGTATAATTTTTTTTTAATACTTTGGCTGTTTCCCACTGAGGCAGGGTGACTCAGTGGGAAAGAAAAAACTTTCATCATCATTCGACATTTTTACCATCACTCATACATAATCACTGTCTTTGCAGAGGTGCTCAGATATGAGTTTAGATGTCTCTCTAAACTGCTTATGTTTTTTATGTTCATTAATTTTCTTCTTTTTAACATGTTGGCAATCTCCCACCTAGGCAGGGTGACTTATCACAGTTTTGCCAGAGGCACACAAATATGACAGTTCAGATATCCATTCAGATAGCAAATAACCTCCTCTAGAGTACTATATGCATTGTATTTCCCACTTCCAAGTCTGGCTTACTGATTTCTCTGATGCCCTTCACAAAATATTTGCTTGTCAGGTCCCATATATTTAATTCATATAATCACCATACCAAACAACTTCAACCAGAACAATGGCTTCTACAACATAGCCGAACCTTTTGCCAGAAGATTCTTCATCACTATCCCACATAGAAACAGGTTGCAGTATGAAGGAACTCTGCAGCAGGCCTACTAGCCAAAGCTAAAGAAATTCTCCTCAAATCTAACCTCTCCTCAGCCATATGCTTGTCCAACCTGTAATCAACTTACCCACATTAGTTACTACACACCTCACCTGACTATTCCTATCACTTTACTCACTGTATATGTATACACACATCCTATCTCCCCTGGTAAATCTGTGACTTGATAAAGCCAGCTGTGTGAGTGAAACATAGTCAATAAAGACTCGCATTATACTGCATTCAGGTCTTTATCCAGTCATTTTACATATTCATAATAAATGGTCTGCAATAGTTTTGATTGCTTATTATTGATTTTCAGAGGTTTACTTAAGTTTTTGATTCATAGAAGTTTAAAGTTAATTTATTTAGAATAAGATGTGAAAAGGATAGTATATTTTTCTACTGTTACTAATTGTGTAGGCAATGTTAAAAAATTTTAGAAGGGAAATTTTGCACCGTAGAGCTTTGAAATTTGGCACTAAAAAATTTTATAACTAATATTTACTTTTCAGCTTACAAGTAGAAATTTATCTTCCTAGACCTTGTGTGCAATTGATTTGGGTAATGTTTATCAACAGTTATATAGTTTGAACATTATTGGATACCAGCAGTTTTTGCCTTTATTATCTTGTACTGTACCGGTGTGATCTTTCATCTTTATACAAGTTTTTTAAATATTCTAGGTATTGTGTATTTTGTATAGAGTTTATTAAGCTGATAAAAAAATTTAAGTGTAAAACTATAGTATTTTATGCCACCTTGAGACATTAACCCTTAAACTGTCCAAACGTAGATCTACGTTCACGTGCGTAGCACTCCGAACATAGATCTACGTTTTATTTTACATTCTTTTAACTTTGGCACGATAGGCCTGAGTTGCCTAGACATGAGAGAATGGGTTTATCCACTCAATGTGCGCAGTATGACAAAATTCAGGGATGCCGGGAAAAATGCGCTCATTATTTTAAACAAACCAAAAAAAAAAAAATTTTTTTTCTTGAAATATTCAGAGCGCTATGCAAGTGAATGTAGATCTACGTTTGGACAGTTTAAGGGTTAATCTAAAGTGTCTTAATATGATGGGTGCTTTAAAGTAATGTACAGTGGACCCCCGGTTAACGATATTTTTTCACTCCATAAGTATGTTCAGGTGCCAGTACTGACCGAATTTATTCCCATAACGAATATTGTGAAGTAGATTATTCCTTTCAGACCCCCAAACATACACGTACAAACGCACTTACATAAATACACTTACATAATTGGTCGCATTTGGAGGTAATCGTTATGCGGGGGTCCACTGTATATTTCTTTGCATCATATTAACTATGTGGTTTCATTTAAAATTTTGGGAACATAAACACTGAAATGTTTGAACAAAAGCAACTGTTTTACAGGTCAGATACATTAAAATTTTCTGTACATTTTGTGTTGCATTTATCACTTGCTAAAACTATCATCAATGCAGCATTGATGATATTTTTAGGTGGAAATTACAGAATTTTATTAAAAGTTTTAGTATATTTTAATTACTGTATTTGAAAAGAACTAAAACATTTTTACTTTTTTACATCCTTTAATAATGTTTTAAAACATTGTTTCCAAAAGTTCAAACATTGAGTTGACTTTGTTTTTAATTGTTGTACGGTATTAGCAACACCTTTTATGCAGTAATTATCCTTACATCTCATTCAGTATCTTTCTTTTAACCCTTTCATCACATTTTGTGTAAATGGTATATGGTTTAGAAAACTGAGAAGTTAATAAATGAGACATTTGTGAAACATTTGGGTGTCTTTATTCTGGAAATGTTTCACCAGCCAGTGACTTCTTTAGTACATTGCAGAGAAAGGTGGAACATGAGGAGTTGAGGTAACTAGTCCCTCAGCCTGGAGTCTGTGTTCAGTCCATCAATCTTAAAAAAAGTGCAGCATATTCATAGAGATGGGGCTTATATGCTGTCAGCACAAGTGTCTCATCAACACAAGTGTCTCATCAACACAAAGGTCTTCATCAACTTTCATCATATCTAGTAGTCTCTTAGGTAGTCTACCCATCCACCTTGTATACACTTTTATAACACTTTATTATGTAATCCGTGAACTGTGGCTCACTTATGTTCTATGCCAATATTTTGTGCTTTTGTATTTGCTGTGTGTCACCTTCTGAGGCCTAAGCTCATTTGTTTGGGTCCCTCATCACCACCTGATGCCAAAAAAAGAAAAGAAAAATTGTATTCTTCATGGGTTGGCTGAGGGCATTATGGGTAAGATGGGCCCAGTAGCACATGTAAACAACAACAACCAGAACCTGTTGTACCACCACCAGCTTCCATGCCAGCAAACACGGTGTGGAACTGGCAGGCTGATGCTTAATTTTTCCAAATGTACTAAAATTTCATGGTAACAGTGGAATTCAACCAAAAGCACACCATGTAGATTTAATCTAGGATAACCCAGTGAAGTTAAATAAAGCAACTTATTTCCTGGCTTCAAGAATTATTCAACCTTGAAACAGTTATAATATCATAAGATTTCCATGTACACAGTGTTAGAAGACAAAAAGAGTCAATAAAAGTAAAAAGTAATTCTTCTTTCAACGAACCGGTTGTATCCGACCAAGGCAGTGTGGCCCAAAAGGAAAAACACAAGTTTTTACTTTTAAATTTAGTAATACATACAGGATAAGGGGTTACTAGAAAAAGTAATTCTTACTTTCAACACACCGGCCGTATCCCACCGAGGCGGGGTGGCCCAAAAGGAAAAACGAAAGTTTCTCCTTTTACATTTAGTAATACTATATACAGGAGAAGAGATTACTAGCCCCTTGCTCCCAGCATTTTAGTCGCCTCTTACAACACGCATGGCTTACGGAGGAAGAATTCTGTTCCACTTCCCCATGGAGGTAAGAGGAAATAAACAAGAAGAAGAACTAGAAAGAAAATAGAAGAAAACCCAGAGGGGTGTGTATATATATGTTTGTACATGTATGTGTAGTGTGACCTAAGTGTAAGTAGAAGTAGCAAGACGTACTTGAAATCTTGCATGTGTATGAGACAGAATAAAAAGACACCAGCAATCCTACCATCATGTAAAACAATTACAGGCTTCCGTTTTACACTCACTTGGCAGGACGGTAGTACCCCACTGGGTGGTTGCTGTCTACCAACCTACTACCTACCAGAAAAAGTAATTAATGGTACAAATTTGTAAAGAATGTTATAATTGTGGCTATGGTGTCCTGTCATCTCAGCATGTTTTAAGTACAAAAATGCCTCGAGGCATGCATATTATCTTAACAAAGTAGTGTTAGACATTGAAAAAATAGGAAAAGTGTACAGTAGGTTTATTATTGAAAGAATTAGAGGTAAGACAAAATGTAGGATTGCGGATGAGCAAGGAGGTTTCAGAGTGGGTAGGGGATGTGTAGATCAAGTGTTTACATTGAAGCATATATGTGAACAGTATTTAGATAAAGGTAGGGAAGTTTTTATTGCATTTATGGATTTAGAAAAGGCATATGATAGAGTGGATAGGGGAGCAATGTGGCAGATGTTACAAGTATATGGAATAGGTGGTAAGTTACTAAATGCTGTAAAGAGTTTTTATGAAGATAGTGAGGCTCAGGTTAGGGTGTGTAGAAGAGAGGAAGACTACTTCCCGGTAAAAGTAGGTCTTAGACAGGGATGTGTAATGTCACCATGGTTGTTTAATATATTTATAGATGGGGTTGTAAAAGAAGTAAATGCTAGGGTGTTCGGGAGAGGGGTGGGATTAAATTATGGGGAATCAAATACAAAATGGGAATTGACAGTTACTTTTTGCTGATGATACTGTGCTTATGGGAGATTCTAAAGAAAAATTGCAAAGGCTAGTGGATGAATTTGGGAGTGTGTGTAAAGGTAGAAAGTTGAAAGTCAACATAGAAAAGAGTAAGGTGATGAGGGTATCAAATGATTTAGATAAAGAAAAATTGGATATCAAATTGGGGAGGAGGAGTATGGAAGAAGTGAATGTTTTCAGATACAGTGGACCCCCGCATACTGTTGGCCTTACATAATGTTAAATCCGCATACCGATACGTTTTATCGCTAAGATTTTGCCTCACATACCGCTAAAAAACCCGCTCAACGCTGTTCGTCCGAGACGCGTCTAATGTGCGGCCTTAGCCAGCCTCACATGTTCCGCCGGTGGCATTGTTTGCCAGCCAGCCTCTGCGGTAACATCCAATCATACAATCGGAATATTTCGTATCATTACAGTGTTTTTGGTGATTTTATCTGCAAAATAAGTGACCATGGACCCCAAGAAAGCTTCTAGTGCCAACCCTACAGGAATAAGGGTGAGAATTACTATGGATATGAAGAAAGAGATCATTGATAAGTATGAAAGTGGAGTGCATGTCTCCGAGCTGGCCAGGTTGTATAATAAACCCCAGTCAACCATCGCTACTATTGTGGGCAACAAAAAGGCAATCAAGGAAGCTGTTCTTGCCAAAGGTTCAACTGTGTTTTCGAAACAGAGATCGCAAGTGATGGAAGATGTTGAGAGACTCTTATTGGTGTGGATAAATGAAAAACAGATAGCAGGAGATAGCATTTCTCAAGTGATCATAAGTGAAAAGGCTAGGAAGTTGCATGAGGATTTAATTAAAAAAATGCCTGCAACTAGTGATGATGTGAGTGAATTTAAGGCCAGCAAAGGTTGGTTTGAGAGATTTAAGAAGCGTAGTGGCATACATAGTGTGATAAGACATGGTGAGGCTGCCAATTCGGACCACAAAGCAGCTGAAAAATATGTGCAGGAATTCAAGGAGTACATAGAAAGTGAAGGACTGAAACCTGAACAAGTGTTTAATTGTGATGAAACAGGCCTGTTTTGGAAGAAAATGCCAAGCAGGACCTACATTACTCAGTAGGAAAAGGCACTCCCAGGACATAAGCCTATGAAAGACAGGCTTACTCTGTTGATGTGTTCCAATGCT